AAAAAAAAAAAAAGAAATGTTCCATTGCCAACACTCTGGCACAGAAGATGATATTGTGTGGGGAAAAAAAACATAGTTATCTACAGCTCTTGAGTAGAAAAGTAATTCAGAAGAGTAGGACTCTGAATACTTTCCCTACTTAATTTTGTTTATATTTATCATTTCATGTTTATAAAAAGGATATATGATCAAAATCTGCCTACATCTAAAACTCAATCATTATAAAATAAATTTTTTTAAATTTTAAGTGTTAGAAGACTTTGTGTTATATATAGTTTAATAGGCATAGTTTTTTCTTAGTAATATATAAAAATGTTTGTTTTAGAATTAATGACTTTTCATTGAAGTATAGTGGGTGATAGTTAAAGATAGGAAATAAATGAGATCACCTAGATCTGAGTTTTCATAAAGAATCACAGTTTCTGTGTACAGAATCTACTGTGTACAGAGACTGCCTCACCAGACTTCCTTCTCATCCTTCAGGACTCTGTTCGGGTGTCCTATACCTCAGAAGAAGCCTTCTCTAACATCTTTCATCTTCACCCCAGTGACTGAGTACATATTTGAGGCCATAAATTAGCAAAATGATGTATACTTTCTTCACTGTGATCTTATTTTCCTTCTGTGTGTGCTCTAGGGAGCAATATCGAAGGCTATTGTGAGTGTTTATTCAAAAGGAATCCAAAAGCGATAGCAGGAATAAAATGTAGCAAATGAATCAGACAATGAAGAGCTATCTTACTTTTCTAGTAATTTTTACTAACCAAATATTTCCATCCTCATATCTCCCCACTTCTTTTTTGCTTTTGTTTTTTAAGGAATGGCCAGAAGAAAGGAGAGTAAACATGAGCTCTGTTCGGGTAAATAAATTTATATTCGTCATGTTCAGGGATTTACTACAGTTTCATTTCATCAAAAAATTTATACCTTCACTTTTCTCCCAACCTTAATCCTGCTGCCTCCACAAAGTCAAAGTGAAGTGTTTGCCTTCTGAATTCATTCCAGTGACTTTGATGTGCATTTATTGTCACATACCCTATACAGTCTTCTCTAAGATACAGCTGTTCATAGTTTGACTCTTGCTGTTGTATCTGTGCATTTTCTCATTTTATAATACATTTGCATGTATTCAAAGTGTGACTGTAATGAGGCTGATTCAACATAACCTAACATAGTTGTCTCATTGTTACAGAAACTCTGTTGTGTACATATTTAATGTAGGCAGTAACATAATGTCTGCTCCCATGTTAGCTATTTTAAATGTTAAATTTCTAGAATGTGCGAATGATGACCCATTTCCATTTCATAGTACTTGTTCAGTTGAACAGCTAAAAATTTTTTTGCCAGTATAATAAAAGGAATGTTTAGCCCTTAAATTATGGGTACTTTCTGGTTTGAATATTACTTAGTGCCTGAGTTCCAGTTATAAACCTGGCTCCTCTGAGCTAACTCTTGGTATGTGCATTCAGGACATTGGGAACTTTTCCTAGGCAAAGATCAGGAGGTAGAGAATAAGCCTAGTAAATATTTGATAAGTAATTTTCCCCTTTTTGTGCCTGCAGGGAAAGAAATGGAACTGGTATTTGGACTATTTATTTTCAGAGGGGTTACAAGGCTTGAAACTTTTCATAAGGAGTAGTATTCATCGTTCTTCTACCCCCCTGACCAGAGAGCATAAACCACATCATCAACATTAAATGAGTTTTGACTGAAACAAACTGACCATACCGGACTAAATTCTTTTCCTTGTTGCTAGAGAGGCCAAGTGGCTCAACTTGAGTTGCCATAATCTGTTCACCAACAGACTGCCATCCTCGGAGCACTTGGACTGGCCTTCTGTGCATGGCTCAGGAGAGCCTCAGTGTGGCTAAATTTATTTTTCAAGATCTAGATTCTGTAGCCCACTAGTGAAAACTGACTTCATCATCAGGCTCAGCCTTCCACCAGATTATACATAAAGAGATTCATCTATTAGGTGGTGGAATTTTTCACATTCTTGTGGACTCTAAGTTGCATCAGTGGAAGAGAGCAGATAACATAATGGCAGTTAAGCCACAGACATACTCGTGCAAAAAGCCCTGCCGCTTCTGAAACCTCTGGGGATATTGCCATTTTCCTTATTGTGAACAACAATGTCAGCATCAAGTTAACAGGATACATTTCTAATGCTTAAAGCCAGCTCTAGCTAATTGGTAGCTTCCTGGGCCTTCACTGGTAGCAATTTGATGAGAGAAGGAAGGGGAGAGGATTGTGGGATAATCTAAAATGTTCCCATTTATTCCACTTTGATTTCATAAAACTGTACTATTTTGTGTATGTGTATATATGTATATGTTACATGTCCCATTTTTACATGTTCAGGCTCATTTAAATAAACCGAGACTTTATTTTGGGGGATCATTCTGAAGCTTTTAAAAAATTTTATCATAGCTAGAATATTTTGCTGAAAATTAAAATTCACTGCTACTGAGTAACTCTTCTCCTTTTAATAAAATTCATGTCATTTGAGAGAAATTAAGCTGAGTTTACTTTTGGTTTTAAGGGCACATTCTTGTGGCTTTTGTTTTTCCTCTAAAGCAAAATAAAACTATATTATTGGGTAGTGCTCAGACTCAAATCCCATTCATTCATTTTTGGGGTTCAGTACATATTTATCTAGTTTACTATGTGGCAGATATTCTTTTGTGTGCTGGTTGTATAGCTGTGACCAATACAAAGTACTGCTTTTGTGAAATTTACTACGTCCTTTTGGAGAAGGCAGACAATAAAAATGTAAGCAGAAATATAACATGAGGTGCTATAAAGAAGAAACAAGGAATAGGGAGAGAATATTTAGAGGGTTGCTACTTTAGATAAGGTGGTTAGGGACTAAGGCCTATTGGAGGAGGTGACTTATGCAGAAGCCCTAATGAAATAAGTATATGGGCCATGTGAATATTTGGGGGAAGAGCATTCTGGGCAGAGTCAAAGGCAAGTTGTGAAGGGCTTAAAAATGTTAACTTAGTTGGCATACTTTTGAGAGCTAGCAGAGAGACCAGTCAGGTTACAACATAGTAATTAAAGAAGAATAGTAAGGAATGACATAGGAAAGAAACCATCGAGTAGTTCATAAAGGCCCTAATAATGTGGTATACAATAAGAAGTCATTAGAAGGATTGAGAGCAGAGTGATATACTTTGGCTTACCTGTATGGGAGCTGTTGTTTGAAGGTTAGTTAGACTGAAGAGAATTAAGGGTTAAAGCAGAGAGACCAGTTAAGTTATTAGAGTTCCAGGAAAGAGTCTTAGACTAGTATGGTAGATGATGGGGAGATGGTTAGGTATTGGATTTAGGCTCTACTTTAAAGGTAGAGAAGATAGGATCTGCTGTTAGCTTGGATATGAGAGGGAAAGAGAGAAGAAAAGGGTGACTCTTAGGTTTTTGACTGAGCAACTGGGTGAATTCTGGGTTGCAGAGATGTGGCATACTGGAGGAGGAACAGATTTGGAGGAGTGTTCAATCAGAAATTCTGTTTTGGCCATGTTAGGTTGAAGATGGAGTAGGCAGTTGGATATCCCAAGTCTAGAATTCAGGGTACAAGTTGGGACTGGCAGACTTAATTTTGGTGTCATTAGTGAATAGACATGACATCATATAAGATCATTTAGTGCAGCTAGAAAAGAGCAGATAAAGACAGCATAGGACTGAGCCCTATGGTATATGCCAACATTAAAAAGTAGAAGAGAAAAGGAGGAACCAGCAAATGACAGAAAGACCCACTGGTGGCTAAAGAAAAGTCAGGAGACTGGAAGCCAAGTGAAAAAAGTGTGTCAAACAAGAAGGAGTATTTATTGGTGTGGAATATTGCCTATATACCCAGGTAAAAAAGTTTTAGCCACTTTGAAGTAAATGTGATAGCATCCCCAATAGATACCCTTTCTCATTTAGAGAGTTCTCTTTGTTTTTAAGTTTGTGTTCTAAATAACTTTCCATATTGTTACTCAGGACATGATATTTTTGTCTTTAAGGTCGTGTGGAACTTTCAATTGTGAGAAGGGATTTGATTATTTTTCCTAAAATTTAACCCCTAACAGTCTTCCAGTCATGGAAGAAATTTCTAAACCTAAGTTTTTGACCCAGGAAAAAAACTATTTTCTTTATGTTTGTCTTTTTGTTCAGTAAGGATTCCCTGGGGATCTTTTTAGTCCATATTATTCTCTTGATCAATTTTTTTAACCCACTTAAGATTATATAAATGGATGTGCAAATAAGCCAAATCTAGTTATTTAAAAACTCTTTTTTGAAGAATGTTCATGACAAAAATAAGATTTAAATAAGAATATTTTGCTTTAGTGCAAAAGTTGTCTAGAAGAGAAAAATAGAAAATTTGGTTTATTATCCCAATTGTACAAAAATAACAATAATTTTCTTTACCTAGTATTTATGTAACATTGTTGATGTTATAAATATTGACTTAATAATGTTCAATACTAAATTTCTGTTAGATTTCTAACATTTTATTTTTCTTTTTATCATAACTTCTTCCTCTTGGTCTTGAGGATGACCTGGAAAGAAAAGTTTAGATAAGTCTATGGTATCTCACATAATTTCTGTTAACATAGCAGACATTCTCTCTAAATCAGATACATTTTATGTCACACAATGGTTTACTAGAAATAAGAAAAATATTCTCTAAAATTGATATTATACTTTTACCATCTCTTTTCAATTGATGTAACTTTTTACTTATTTTTTTTTATTATAGAAAGCCTATATTTTTGTCACATAAGAATTCTATTTTTGATAAAGATGGATGCTATGGACTGAATGTTTTTTCCCCCAAATTCAGACATTGAAGCCCTTACCTCTAGCATGATTGTATTTGGAGGTGGACCCTTTGGGAGGTAATTAGGTCATGAGAGTGGAGTCCTCATCAATGAGATTAGTACTTTTATAAGAAGAGACAAGAAGGGGACCTGGGTGGCTCTGTTGGTTGAGTGTCTGACTCTCCATTTGGGCTCAGGTAATGTTCCTACGGCCATGGGATCAAGCCCTACGTCAGGCTCTGCAGTAAGTGTAGAACCTGCTTAAGATATTCTCTCTCTCTCTCTCTCTCTCTCTCCCTCTCTCTCTCTCCCTGACTCGCGTGCTTTCTCTCTCTCAAAAAAAAAAAAGAAACAAGGGAGATACCGGTTTTTCTCTCCCCCTTGTGAAGATACAGCAAGAAGGTAGCCATGTACAAGCTAGAAAGAGGATCAGACCTGTCCATGTTATAGCACCCTGATCTTGGATTTTCAGCCTCCAGAATTGTGAGAAATAATGTTATAGCAACAATGGCCAACAATGTTTAACAGAATATATTTTTGATCTGAATCATCAATGCTTTATATTTATAATACCAGAAAAGGATGTCTTCCCCAGAAGCATAATAAGTACATGTGAATTAAAGTTAACATTTATTTATTTATTTATTTTAATGTTTATTTATTTATTTTTGAGAGAGAGAGAGAGAGCACAAGCAGGGGAGGGGCAGAGAGAGAGAGGGAGACACAGAATCTGAAACAGGCTCCAGGCTCTGAGCTGTAAGCCCAGAGCCTGATGTGGGGCTCGAACCCAGGAACTGTGAGATCCTGACCTGAGCCGAAGTTGGATGCTGAACTGAGCCACCCAGGTGCCCTAAAGTCTACTTTTAGTTATGTAGCAGAAGAGCAATTTTTTTTTATCTTTCTAGGAGGAATCTTAGCTTATCTAACTAGATTTGGTGCACAGAGGTGAAGGCTGGATATTGAGGAATCCTTTCATTGCTTCTAGTTTTACGTTTATCATTAATGAATTGTATGACCTTGGAAGTCACTTAAGTACTTTGCATCTTGATTCCCTCTTTGGCAAAATTTAGACTCTAATGTATGTCTTTCAAAGATTTGGCATATAAAATGATAGAAAACCTGTGAAATTTCATTGAAAGCCATAAAGGGGGAAAAAAGATACAAAGTTTTTCTTACCTTTGAAGTGTATGTAATCAAAGTATAACTTACAGAATGCAATTGAAGACTGTCACAGAAGGTAGTAGCATATTGAAGTAATATGCATTTTGTTATACTCTACATTCTGGGTGAACACAGGTTGCCTGACCCTTTCTGGAAAAAGTGCTGAAACTATGAATAAGCATTTATTCAAGAGTTTAATATCCTGGTCATTTGTGAGTATTCCAGCCCTGGATACAATAACACAGTTAATATCACATGATATTGAACAAGACTACATTTAAAATTTTTTTTAATGTTTATTTATTTCTGAGAGAGAGAGACAGAACATGAACACGGGAGGGGCAGAGAGAGAGGGAGACACAGAATCCAAAGCAGGTTCCACGCTCTGAGCTGTCAGCAGAGCCCGATGCAGGGCCCAAACCCACGAACTGTGATATCTTCCCAAAGGAGTATCTGTCTAATTGGTCACAATTAGCAAAGACAATCATTCAAAGTCTCTGGAGAATAATAAAAGGATTTACAACAAATTGAGAACAATTTATTCAAAACATATAGGATTCAGTAATAGTAGTAGGGAGGCTATAACATTTGTGGTAAAGGCTACACCCATTCCCTCTCCCAAATTTGTTTCAGAAGAGGTGTTCTAGCACTTAGAAACCAAATGGCAACTCCCATCAGTCCCAGATACTGGTCTATAATACAGAGGTTCTGCCATGAAGAGGTAAGAGAAA